AAAGGATCTCTTTCTACTGTGACGGAATTCAGTGGATAAACAAAGCAACATCATAGTGATGAAGTTTCTGACACTGTCGTTTATGTCACGATTACATTTGCAAATTTTCTTTTTGTTCTTTTACTTCGTATGTGTATATTGATTTTATTACGTTTGAGTGTTTTTTATATACTTAATATGGCATACATTAGACTGTTTCGCTCTGATTTCCTTTTTGTTTTTATTGAAAAAAAATAATGATGTCATTCTAATAACATGATATTCGATAAGAAATAATCCCACTTCGAGTTATAATATAAATTTAATAATATATATAATCTTACCCTTGTAGTTTCTGTTAGTGGATCGTTCATGATTAAATGTTGAATGTAACAATGAGTTGAAGAAAAAAAAAATGAAAAAGAAATAAATATTTTTCGTTGTGCAATAACTTTTATTAGTCATCTGAATCGAAATTGTTTTGTTGTGTAGGCGGCTCTTTGTCGTTTTATTTTCTTCGTTCTTTTAGTTACCAATAGCAAGGAATTCTTGATAATTGTATCAGACGTCAGTAGACTGCAAAACAAGAACAAAACCGTGTTGCACCTTCAGCATACATAACAATTTTACTTTTAATGATTTTTCTATCAAGTAAAAGGGATAAGAAAAAGAAAACGAAAAAGTTCTGTTTTGACTTTATTTGAATATGTCATGACTGATAAAATAAAAATTATTTAAAAAAAAATCAAAATAAGTTAATAAAAAAAGAGATTTATTGTCAGTTTTATGATCACCATCAACTTGATATAATGTTGTTTTGATTCTTTGGAATGATAAAAATGTTTCTAAGTTTTTTTTTTTTTTGGTTTTCTTTTAGTTTGTCTTGGTGCTAAATACTAAAAAAGGAGAATTAGCTAAACTTAAACGTCAGATTGAATCATACGAAAATGAACATATTAATAGAATTAATGGTAATTGATTTAATTAAAAAAACAAAATTTATTTTTCAAAAAAAAAAAAAATAATAATAAAAAATTTCTTTCAAGGTAGTGAACATTCCGATGATGAAGGAAATCCTGCTGGATATAATAGTGGTACTGATGATGAACGTTCAAATGATGCATTTGCTAATTTACGTGCTCGAAGTCGATCACCTGTACATACAACAGCAACATTAAATGACGATGAACATATGAACACAGGTGAAAATAAACGAACAAGAAGTACAATGAGTGATACAGATACAAGTGGAGATGAAGATCAATATATGGAAGATGAAGTACATGAGGTTAATAAAAAAAAAGTTTTTTTTTCTGTCGAATTGAAATCGATTTTGTTTTATTTTTATTTGAATCAGATACAAATTCCAATTCGGCAAGCAAGTCAATCGGAAATAAATATTGGTCCTAGTCAAGATAGTCTACTTGATTTAGGTGATGATCGACTAGATTATAAACTATCAACTATTAGTAAACATCATCAACGGTATGAATTATTGCAAAAATATAAGTTTGTTTTTAAATATATATTCTGTTTTCTTATTGTAGACGAAAATATGTTACCGGTGCTAATTCGATTTCAACTCGTCCATATCTTAGGTATGATAAAAAAAAATGTAAACATTATTTTTATTAAATTAACTTATAACCTCTTTTTAGTCATGCTGGTGCTGGTATTCCGCCAACCTTGACAACACCATCATTACCTGAAGAATCGCAAACAACCGATGATTTATTAGAGAAAATCTAATTGAAAATATTTTTCTGTAATTGTTGTTGTTTTGTTTAATATTTGTAAATATTTGTTTTTTGATGTTTGTTTCCATCCGTTAAATGCGACTGGATATTCATATAGAATAATACATAATGTAGTTCTTATTGTTGTAGATAAATATGAGTACAACATCAGATACATATGCTTGTGGTGCATGTACCTATATTCAATCTATAAAACGACCAACATGTGAAATGGTATTTGTATATTTTGTTTTTTGATAACAATCGTTCGTATTTATTAATCTCTTGAATGTAGTGTGAGACGCCTAATCCAAATTTTGTTAATCCAAACCATGAATCAGAAGCAGGAGCAACTGCAGGAGCAGCGCTGTTTGATTCTCAAAAAGGCGATCAAGTAATTGACTGTATCCAATGTGGTTATATTAATATTGGTAGTCATATGCAAAGTGTGTCTTGCTAACAATAAAGGCAACGTTTTCTAAATAAAACGAAGGATTTCATATTTTTCTAGTTTGCCAAGGCTGTGGACAGAGTCTTTATAATTTCCGTGGTTTATTTACAAATTTTAATATGGATCTTGACAATCGATATCCTAATGATGAATCTGATGACACTAAATCTAATGATGATGATCAGGATGTTATAATGGTAGATAATACTGAAGAGTCACAAAAGAAAGGTCCATCAGGAAAAGCAGCTGCTGCTGTAGAAAAAGGAATGGATGATAAGCAATTAGTACCCTATATGAATCGATATTTATTGATATTGAGAGAACAACAACAACAACAACAAAGTCAATCATTTACATTAGATTATTTAAATGAGTGTATGACTGAACTTTTTAATACACTTGAATATAAAAATGATGAATCAGATGGTAAACAAAATAAAAGTTTTCTTGTTTTATATTATTTTCGTGGAGTTATTTATTTAAGGTCAATTAACTTTTCCTGCTTGTCAAATTTGTTGTGATGAAGATGCACCAATGATTACGATGAAAGTAAATCCGACATATTTATACGTATATATTGATTAGCAGCATTTTATCTAGATATTAATTTCAGGAAGAACGATTTTTAACTTCTGAAGGACAAAAACCAATTTTTAGGAGCACAGACACAGAGTACATGGTACAATAACTACAAACTCTGAGAGATCCAATTCTAGTTTCGAAGAAATACCACTCCCCTCGATTTCATGCTCGATAAAATACTCTTGAGTAGATTAAACAACATCAAATAGTTTTTAAACATTTATTATATAAAATTCAAGGTTATTCAACAAATTATTCTATGAACATAAAATATTTTCTACTTCAGAATGTAGAGTTTTTCGATTTCATTCGAAATAGATTGAATAATGTGATATATTGTTGAAAAAATATATGTTATACAACAGAAATCCACAAGATATGAAAAAAAATTATTCTTTTCAGAAAAACATTAATATTCAATACAACAAAAATTGATGCAAATAATCAGAGCTGGATAAATACGAGTACATACTCATACTCGAAAGATCGGTATTAGACATGTACTAATTTCAATGCTTAAGATTTTTCGAAATTGGTCTTGCGAAAATTGGAATCGAATTTTTTTATTTATATGAATATATATAAAATTAGTAATTCTACAATAATCGATTTCAAATCGAGAAGTGGAATTGAAATTAGTGTATCTCTATTCAGTACTTGTCTTTGAGAAAACTCGTACTTGTCCAGCTCCGATAATTATTCATTTCAAAGATTGGAATATATTCTTAAACGAATAAAAACAAAATCCATACTGTATTTGATTAGAGGAAACATTCCAAATCTCAGGTGACAATCGATGGGTTTCTATCACGAGTCGTGATATAAATAAAACGAAACATTTATTTTCATAAGACATTTTCTACTACAGAAAATGTCAATACCAAATAAATTCATTATTTATATAAATAGAATTTTTTTTTTGTGCTTACACTCGTATAATAATGTATACCACAGTATAAAACTCGTATTCAATGTATACTTCCGTGTTCTAATCTACTAAATATACTAACTGTAATCGCCCACGTATTTATTCCATGCTTTCATGCTAAGTTAATTCTAAAGTATTGCGAAATAATGAAAATATCAACGTGTTTTTGTTGTACAGTTTTTGAAAAGTGTATCAAAAATATATATCATATTCTGTAGAAAAAAAAATTGTTTTTTTTCTAAATTTGTAGGCTTGTGGTCATCGTGTAGTTTGTACCAGTGATTTTAATCGATATTTATCAGTACGTATTCGTGATGGAGATATCCTTCCATGGATTCCATGTCCAGCTGAAACATGTTTTGTTCCATGTCATGTAGACAATATTACTCAAGATGGTAATTTAACATATTCTGATCTATTATCATTCATCACAACATTTATGTTAAAAAAATTATCTCGTAATGAAAATTTTATTACATGTATTAAATGTGAAAAAGGTGGTTTTCTTCAAATGGGTCCACCAAAAAAACAACAAGTTACATGTCCTATATGTCATGAAAAACAAATAATTGAAAAAGGTGTTGATGGTGCTCTTGATCCTGGTATGTTATTTATTATTGTTATTTTTATATTATTCAATAATACACTGTTTATATTAAATAGCTTTTAAAAAAATGATTCAATCAGGAGAATTACGTGAATGTCCAACATGTCGTCATTTAACTTTAAAAGAAAAAGGTGTATGTAATGTAATTGAGTGTGCTAAATGTGGAATATGGTGGAATTGGAGAACTAAAGAACAAGGACATAATGGCAGAGATTTAAAACAACGTGCCCGAATGAATGGAACACTTTGGGAAGCTGGTAAAAAGAAACGAGATCATTAATTCAATATTTTTCTATTAATTCTTTTTTCTTTTTGGTTTTGTATAGGTGAACTTCGATATCAACAAGAATTAGAAGCACGAAATCCAAAAGAATTCAAAGCTCTATTAGAACGAAATGGAATTAAATATGATCCAAATTATATAAGAGGCGGTTGGCTTGATCAATAACTTTATTAATATACATATATATATAAGAGTTTTTATCGAATTTTCTCTGCTACTCACCATAAAAGTTTTGAAAAAATTTTTGTGATATATTTTTTTTGCGAAACAGAGGTTTAGTATGTTTAACTTGTTTTTCGAGTTATACGCTTTTTTTTTTTAAAACTTTCTTTTTCTTTAAAATTTCCGACACAATTGATTATAAAAAACCAAAATACGTTTATATTTATTAATCTGGATAAAACGATGAAGTTTTTTCATCTATTTTAGATAAGATGTATTCAATAGCAAATAAACCGGAACAATGTATTGAATGTGAAGAAAATAATAACAAGGATGGTTGGTTTATTTGTCAAGGTTTGAATTTTAATTTTTTATTTAAATATTTAATAAACGGATCAATCATTACAGATATATATATATTTATAGAATGTCATCGAATATTTTGTAGTCGACATAGTATTAGTCATCGTCATCAATTAAAACAAGAACAACCATCAACTGAAAGATATAACCGTCATGTTCACTTAGATCAAATAGCTGAATGGGAACGAAAAGCTATTGATAAAATTCGTAAACAAGCAGATGAAGCTCGGCGTCCTTTAATTGCACCACCAACACCAATAACCCAAACATCACCATCGACAATGCTCATCAATGAACTACGTAATGTTTCACTTACACAATTATCAACTGCATCATCTAATATTGAAAAACAAGTATTATAATTAATTATTTTTATTTATAATTTTAATAATATTCTCGTTTTTGTCTTATAGTCACCAATTATTGATCAATATGAATTATTATCTGATGAAACATTAGATGAAATAATTGGTGATAGTCCTCTAACATCACCTCCTGATGAGATACATGTTACAGGACGTGTTTCATTTGCTAGTCAATATCCATATATGACTGGTGTGCATCGTCTTCGACTTTCATTGGATACATTTGATTATCCATCATCATGGGCTTTTGTTGGTATTATATCTGAAGGAGTTAGATTAGAAAATACAGAATATCCAAATTATTTAAATCGATCATCATTTGGTTGGCATATAGGTCGTCAATCTATTATATATGATAGACAAACTTCTACTATATATAATTATGATGGTCGAGATATTCGACAAGGTGATATTTTGAAAATTATTATCGATTGTAATCAAAAAACTATTGAAATCAAAAATGAAAGAACATTAAATACACATCTTATTTCTATTAATAGTAATCATTGTCCATTACCTTGGTTATTTGCAGTTAATTTTAACTATAAAAATAAGGATTCAATGCATTTGTTACAGTGATTTTTATACTATTGTTTTACTAGTCATTCTACGATCAGATGAACAAATCATTTGTATTTTTAGATCAATATAAAAAAACAAAAACGTTTTCTTTGTTATTTTTTGAAATTTTATATGATATTTATATTTTTAACATGACTATAAGAAAATGATATAGAAATTTATAAAAGTAAGTCTTATTGTTCGATTTTTCGAAAATAAAAATCGAATGATATCTATAAGACGATAAAATGAAATCATCTATTCATTTGGATTTTATATGTACGAAAAAGATATGATAAATTATTTTCGATGTAAAATCCTCACTAATATTGATGATTATTGTTATACATTACGTCAGTAAATGTTCTCAATTTCATCGACGTTATTCTTTGTAATCGTTTATTTTCTATGTGTCAGTTTACGTAATCGTTACAAGACATTTCACTGAGTCAAGTACATGAGTCACATTGACACATATTAATTATTGTGTTATGATCGGATAATATGTCATGAATACTTCCGAAATATTTATAGAACAAAAGGGAACAATGACAATAGTGAATACGTAAATGATTTATGTTGTTATGATTGGTTGATTATGACACCTTATCAATCAATATGAAGACACTTTTATCTAATAATTTAAATTAATTATTGAGAAATTAGTTTAAAATATAAACATAAGTTAAATTTAATAATAAAAATTCAACTTATAAAAAAATGAATAAAGCTCAAAGTTTAATTTAAAAAAAAAAATTGCAAATCATATATTTTATTTCTAGATCAACTATGGTTTGGAATATAATAGTTCCGATTGTTGGTCGATATGCAACTATAATTACTTTGCCAGTTGCCATAGGTATTATTTTGTATTTTATTATTATTATTATTATTATTATCATTCGTTTTTTTTTCTTATAGTTTTGGGCAGTCTTGGATATCTAATTGAACGACGTTTGCGTGGTATACCATATACTCCAGTTCCTCATGAAAAAACTATTATAGATGAACGAGTAGAACGACAAAATCAACAACAAGTGACAGCTTCTCCTTATAAAATGGACACTGTTGTACCAAAAACTATTTTTGAAAGAAACAATCCTGATGATTTAAAAAAATTTAGTTAGAAAATATTGATATTTAGTAATTTTTTATATTAATATAAAGATCTAACGCACAACAAAAAAAAAAGAACAACATATGATTTTTTTTTTTTTGTCTTCTTCTATTTAATGATACTCTGATTGAAATGATTGATGTTTCGATTCTTTAACGGGTCTTCTTGCTCCACTATTATTGATAATACCTTTCAACATATAAATACTTAATATTAATCCAAATGAATTTTGTATTAAGGCAAAAATCAAATCACTAATTTCTTCTGCCATTGATTTTTTATCAAAAGAATTAAAAGGATAATATAATGATTGTTTAATATAACCTGAAAAATAACCATAAAAATCAAAAATAAGTTGAAGACATATAAGAGCTGTCAAAAAAATAAGTGAAATTAAAAGTAGATCAGCCATTTTACGCCATGTTGCATAGAGAAGAAGAAAACGATAGATTAATGAAGCACAACCACCAACAACAGCTCGAATATGAATATATGTATATGGATGTGCAAAAGGTGATGATAACATTGAACAATGAAAAATAACTTGTTTAACATATACAATAGTATGACAATTGAGATAAATGTAAAAACATATTAAGAGAAGACGTAGTTCAGTAAGATGAGATGAACGCATTTGAAATGTATTTGCTATGATCAATAATGATTTAATACATTTTTATGATTTTTATTTTTCTACAATTAATAACAAGCGAAGATAGAATAATATAATAATAGAATACTTGACATTCATTTTATTACTTTACATTTATAGAATATTTTATTGGAAATAGTTGTAAAAGAAAAATTTAATGGCTAAATCATATGTCACATAATTTATTTTTTTGAAACTTTTATTTATATGATATGTAAACATAAAACTATATATATTTTGTTCGTTGTAGTATATTTGAATGTTTTCATCACAAACTGCTATTGTTGTTGGTCTTGGTGGTATTACTAATGGTGGTAAAACAACGATGTGTGACTTTCTTGAACGTCTATTTTCTTCTAATAAATATAATCTTGATGTAAAATCATTACATATTGATGATTATTTTCGTTCAAATGATGATTCAAATCATATACATCTGGATAAATATAATTATCACGATTGGGATTGTTTAAATGCACTTGATATAGATCGATTTATGAAAGATTTTCAATCTATTTGTTTGCAATGTGATCTTTTATTAGTTGAAGGTTTTCTTATATTTAACATAGTATCTCCATCAAAAGATGATTATCTATATGATTTAGCTTATCATTTTGATTTACCATATGAAGAATGTCGCAAACGACGATTCGAACGAATTTATGATCCACCAGAGCCAGAAGGTTATTTTGACGGACATGTTTGGAATGCATATATTAAAGCAAAAAAAGAAGCATTCGAACAAAATAAAAATATAAGATTGGAAATTATCGATACATCTAAAGAATCGTTTGAAAAAATTCAAGAGAAAATTATTAAAGATATTGAAATAGCTTTAAAACTGTGTTCAAAACAAAACGACATAAAGTAAAATGTTGTTTTCTTTTTATGATAATGATTTGCTCAATTCTTAAATAAATAATAAAATAGATTTTAATTTGATCAAATCTAGTTTTTTGTTGAGAACAACATCATTAAAGGAAATATAAAAGCTTTAATAAATATGACAGTTACATAGTTTATTTCAATTTTTATTATCTAAGAAAGAGAATTAATAAGAACATTAAGTAAGAGTTACAGTCAATTCACTCGTTCCAAATCCTCCACCAAATAAAGGATAATAGTTCCACCAGAAACTAATAATAAAATTTTGTCCTGGAATAATAGAAAATGTTTGTTTGACATAAACAGGTGCATTCAACGAGGCTCCATATAGATACGCAGTACCTGTTAATTGATTTCCTGATACAGAGTCAATTGTGGTTAATGATGTAGCATTAGAATAAACAGTCAATGTCCAATTTGTCCAATTGTATTCAAAACCACCATTTGAAATAAGTTCTCCATTGCCTTGTGTTGCACTTACATCGTCTAACGCCCAATATCCACTATCATCTTGAACAGCTATTTCGATTGTATACTGATTCACTGTTGGAGCCACATAGCAGCATGAAACAAGTGCCCATACCGGTGGTGGAAGATACAAGAGATTTAAATTATGATACATAACTGTCGAACATGCCGTATAATTACTTGTATTACACACATGAGTTGAGCCAGTAGTGGTTGAAACTTTAATAAAGATGCAATTAAGAATACAAATATTAAAAGAAAATCGTACCGGTAGTTATAATTGTTGTCGTTACTGAATCTAAATATATTTTCGTACGTATAATTTGATCAAAGTCTGACAAGGAAATATCTCCAGGTATCAAATAACTTTTCGACCGACATGATATTCATTTGATGAGTGCTCGTAAATTATAGAAATGTTTAGAATGGTTTAGTTTTTCGAGACTCCGTTCTCGGAATATCGAAATTTTACTGAGTTTTTCAACAAAAAGCTGTGGTCTCTGGTTCGTTCACATAGAAATTCGATTTTCGGAATGTCTTTTCTGAAAGTGGTAACATATGAACAAAATTTGCTTTTACGCAAGAAAGAATTTCGAATATTGAATGCCTCAGAATAGAAGATACTAAAAAAACTACCACTTGATAAATGAACTAATTTTATTGAGAACTTTATTCGTGAAGACATTGAAGTCGGAACCCGAAAGTGGATTTTTCACGTGACTTAAGAAGGATCACAGTTTTTTGTTAAAAAATCCAGTAAAATTTCGATATCTCAAGAATAAAAGGATTGAAAAATCAAATCGTACTAAGATTTTACATTACGCACTAGTACTCATCAAATGAACATCGTCCCGATTCAAAAGCAAAATGATATTTAGAGAGGTACCCTCGTTAGTGAGACACCTACCTTTACTCCTAGTAAGTGGAATCACAATGGCTACGATAATAGCTCCAAGAAAGAAAATCAATAAAATACTGGTTAGTGCGAGAATAAATGGAGAGCACCGTCGTTTCTTTCTCCTGTTAAAACAAATATATGAAATAGTTTAGAAATATTTCTTATCTTCATATTTCATAGAAATACTTTTTCAATGATAATTGATCTTGTTGTTCATTATTCGGATGTACTAATGATTTTTTCTTAGATCTTGTTATTGCTGAAAACGCTATATTAGTCCATGATGATGATGATGATGAATTATTCGTTGTATCTTGAAATAGACCAACATTCTGAGCAGAAATATAAGATTGAGCTAAATAAAAATGCATCTAAAAGAAAGTTACGAACTTTTCTATTTGATTGATAGGATAACAATGGAACGAAACCATGTGCATCTTTGGATGATAATATCTGAGAAGTTGGAAGAACTATCTTGTCTAAAGTTGAATTAGTCTTGTAAACTGCATGAGAAAATGATTCTAATATATTTAGATGCAAATCATTATAACGATTAAGTTTCATACCGTTGATTTGTTTTGCTATACTAAGGACTTGATCATTGTGTCTTGAATTTCTTCTTTGTATGTGATTTAATGATTGAGTATGATCATCATGAATTTCATTTTGATATATTTGTTGTTGATTAGTAATATAAGTTGGAAGAGAATTCTGTCTTGTTTTACTTTTATTTTTCACTCTTGTTACTTTGGGTTTTGGAACGACAGAAGCAGATATGAAACGACAGTTTTGATTTAATAAATTAGTTGTGATTAATGATGAAGTGATATACTTCAATTTATTATTGTATATTCGATTTTTTAGTTTCTTAGATCGTCGTTTCAGCGATTTTCGTTGAAGTAACCGAACATGAATCTGGTTTTGGCGAGTAGATCGAGTAGTCACCATTGAAGTGGAGAAGAAAAAAATCTGATTGTTGTAAAAAAAAATAAAATAATATCTGCACTTCACAATAAATACATTTTGTAATCCACCCATTGTTTGCTTGAAATGAAGCCGCACTATATACTTTGTATGTAATTAAAAAAATCTAATCATGAAAACTAAATTGAATGAAGACTATATGATACATTAGTTTGATTTGACCTTCATCAGAAGATCTTAAAATCTACTAAAGTTCATTCCTAAGACGAAAGTGTTAATATACAGTGATGAACAAAATTTTTTCTACGGTTTTGTTTTAAATGTAACTCCATTAAAGAACTATTTTTTGACACGCGGTTGTTGTCAATAGCACTGTCGTTGTGTATAGTATATGCAAAAATAAGTTCAATTCAGATAGTTGAGTCGGACTTGAATTGAATTAATAATAGTTCGAAGTAATCAATTTTTCGTAGAAATATTTTTTTTGAAAATGTTTAGAAAGAAAAACAAATCAATATTAGTGGATAGAGAGAAACAGGAACTACATTTTGACACTTGAAAATTTTGGAAGAAAAATTTTCTATGAAGCAACTTGCTGACTTTACGATAGATATGAGATGATACACTTGTTAACTCTCTGTCTTCATATTTATGTGAAGAAATTGAATTTTGAACAACGATATCAAATCATTGAAACAACGTTCCTGAAGATGATTTTCGAAGATTATCGCTGGTTTGAGAACATTATTTCAATGATCTGATGTCGTTGTTCAAAAAAAAAATTCTTCACGTGAATACGAAGATACAAAGTTGATATGTGTATTATATCATGTGTACTGTTGAGTAGGCAAGTTGCTTCATAGAAAACTTTTCTTTAAAAAGTTTCGATTGCTAAAATGTAGCTTGTGTTTTCTTTTAATCATTCATAAATATCTGATTTTTTTTCTAACCCTTTTCATAGAAAAATTACTTGTTTTGAAAACTGTTGTTAGTTCAGTTCAAGTATGATTGAATTTTCGTATGTACTTACTATTGATTAAATTCATGTGTCAAAAAAGCATTTGTTGAATGGAATAGCTGAAAGACAATAAAATCTTGTATAACGTTGGTTAACAAAAGTCCACTTTGTTTGGTGATATTTTTATTGAAAAAGAAATCTTAATTTCTCTATCAACTAGGATAC